TATGTACATGTTTCCCTACCTTTTTCCTAAAGATAAATTATAGCCAATCTAGGTGCATTGTGGGGAGCTTAGACTTAAAATTCGTAACTATAATCGACCAAAAGAAGTGTTGCCACCTAACTTGGAGGTGACTTCGATACTTAGGATGGTTCCATTATTCTCCTTTTCTTTTCATGTTTCCTTGGCTTTGGAGTGATAATTAAATTATCAGTTGATTGTAACCATACATGATATATTTTTCTTCTCTTACTTCAGAGGATGGATGCGTCTACAAATATTGTTTGGCATGGATTGTTTTTCTTAGTAGCTCTTTGAATTATTTTCTTCCTTATTTGCTTATTTGAATGGATATCATTGAAATGTGTTTTATCCATTCATATGTCCATAAATATTAAGTAGTATTGGTGATATTGCTATAAATATCCATCTATTTTTTCTATTTTATAAATAGATTAATGATTTCAAAGTTATTGATACTTTTTTGGGGGTGGGTTGCTCAACAAGACATTGATTTTTTATTGTTAAATAGTAAATTTCAAATTAAATGATACTGTAGTTGCCCCTTACTTAGTATGGGGTCATTGTTTAGATAAAACATGGTAAGTGTCTTAAATCAAATAAATAGACTATCCTAAATATCTATTATAAATAATTAAAAAATTAAATAATTCAAATTAAATCAAATAATTACTTGCTAAAAATTATTGAATTAAGTAAATAATAATAACAATCAATTATTTATAGAATTAATTAATAATAATAATAATAATCAAGTACTTAATTAAGTAAATAATAAAAATGAAATAACAATCACCAATTATCATTAATGTTTATTCAAAGCATGCCCCATAATAATTACCAAGTACAGTAATTAAATCTTAAATAAGAATCAATATTTATTTACAATCATTCAAATTGTTAAGCCAAATCATTAATGTTTATTCTTAAATGCAAAATATGAATTAACAAATCTATTATATAATAATTATAGTCGGTTGAAAAAATATTTTAAGTAAATATTTAAATATTTACAAATTTAGTTAATATTATTATTGTATAACAAAAAATTTAAATTAAATACTAAAATAAATTAGTAATAGTAGTAGTAATAATAATAATAATGGTTAAATTAAAGTAATAAATGGTTAAAGTTGAATTTAGTGACCCGTATAATTTAACGGGTTTAACATATAAGAGTCAAGTTATGTGGACCCGTAGACTTTATGAGTGTCTTAAAAAATGGCAGTTTATAAACAATAATAAAAAATGGTAATAAAAATTATTAATGCTTATTATATATATACATATATAATTAACTTCCCCATACTTAATACGGGATCATTCACTAATTTCGATCTTATAAAAAAACATCAAACTAATCATTGCTAGCAATGAACACAATAGATGGATAAATGAAATAGTTAGGAATAATATCATATATATTAACCGAATAGAAGGTAGGAAATGCTTATGGTAAACAACATGGGTAAGTAGTAGGGGTGCAACTTGGGGGGACCAACCTGAGAATTCGTGTAGGTTGGGACTGGGATAGAAAACTCAAGGCTGAGCTAAACTTCAGTTGGACTTGGGTTCAGGTCTCGTATAGTGCAAGTTTGACCCGAGCCTGGCCTAACCCAGCCCAAGCTCACCGAAACAAATACATGCATGCATGTAGCATACTTACATAAGAATGTATTTTTTTCTAATTATATATACATGTGTATATGTACAAAATATCTATTTGCATATTTGTAATATTTTTAATCAATTCCACTATTAAATTGGACCATTAAACCCAACCAAAAACTGGTTATATGGAAATATATACATAAAATTTCTCAACCAACCCCACATAAGCCCAATTAATTTGACCCAATCCAACCCAAGTTGTATTGGGTTAAACTCAGGTTGGTCCTGGGTTGATAAACTTGAAGTTAACCTTGGATTGGGCTAGGCCTGAGCCCAATGTTTGCACCTTTGGGGTTGGGCCTGGGACCTTCAACCTGACCCGATGTTGCACTCCTTATAAATTTAAATGAGAAAAAAAAAGGAAATAAGAGGTGGACGAGGTTTTGGGTTTTGAGGTTAGAGCTAACTTGATGAGTTTGGAAATGGGCCGGCTATGGGGTTTGTAACCTCACAAAAAAGGATAAATTACAAATAAGTAACTCTGTACTTTGGGGTAGTAACACTAAAGGGCATGAACTTTCAAGTGAAACAGTTTGGTACTCTAAAACTTTAGAAATATACACTTAAGTACAAAGTTGTTAAAACTGATGTTATAACGATGGTAAAGTTACAAAAATTTACCCTTTTTTGTGAGGCTACACACCCTAAACTGATGCTTAAGTATACTTTCAAATTTTCACCTTCAAATGGTCTATATCTAATTTGAACCATATATGTTGAATTTGAAAGTAAATATTAAATATTTTTATTCATTTTACCATCCTTTCTAATCATTTTATTTCATTTGAAACATCTATATACTTTTTTTCAACAAAGAATAAACCCATTTCGATAGAACAATGAGAAACAATGAAAAAAAAAAAAACTAAAATATGGACATTTTTGTAGTTTTACCTTCATTGTAATGTTAGTTTTAACATAGTTGGACTCAAGTGTATATTTCTAAAAGTTCAGGGTACTAAAATGTCCCATTTGAAAGTTTAGACCATAAGCGTCACTACCCCCAAAGTACAATGTACCTTCTATAATTTAGTCCTCTTAGTTTTGAACATGTGGCATGCACTCTCGTGTTGGTGAATACATAGGTGGCGACCAAATATGATGTGGGAAGAGTTTTGGATAGCAAATCCAGGCTCCTACGCATTGCATTATTTACTTAGTTTATCTAAACAAATGACAAATTAATAAACTGGTTAGTTTAACCATCTCACCCATTATCAAACATCTCCTTAGTAAAATTTGGTTGATGATATTGAGCCTGTATGGAATAAGTTCAAGTATCACCCCCCCCCCCCCCAAAAAAAAAAAAAAAAAAACTAGGCCTAGCCTAGTTTGGATTGGCTTGACTATGATTGTTCATGAGACCAATTAAACTGACCAACCTAACCCAACTCAACCCAAATTGGTTGATTTTCATTTTTTCCCCGGTCAGCTTCAGTTCATGCATTATGCTAATGTGAGATGTTGGATTGGTTTTGGTTTGGTTATGTATAAATCGACCAAACCGATCCAATCTAACTATATGTATTAATATTTGATGTTTTAAAATTCATTTTTAATATGGAAAAGTGGAAAAATCCCATAATTCATAGCCTTAAATAATTAAAATTTTAAAATTATTTTTAATAATATTAATACAATTATTAATTAACTTTATTGTTTTAAAATTTTTATCCAATCAAAACACGTTGGTTTAACAAATTAGTTTTGGGGGTGTGTTATATATAATCGATCCAAACTAATACAACCTAGGTTGGATGCTTTTCACTAATAGTTGATCAATTTTGAGCAGTTAATTCCCCAACTTGATCATGTTGGTTTGATTGACCAAACAGCTTGCAATCAAACCAAAACCAACCAATGAACACCCCTACGCCTGACTAGGGGTGCAACTTGGATGGATTGAATCGGGTTTAGGGCGACCAAATAAAATCAAAAGGTGTAAACTTTAGGCTCGTGCCTGATCCAACTTGACATTGAGCCTAATTTTACCAAAGTAGGGACAACCGGAGCTACACCTAATACAATTTGTGTGGGGTTAGGATAGGGCTAATATGCTTAATTGGGTTTAAAGAAGTTTATGAAATGTGCTATTGTTCAACCATCATTTGTTAAACTTTAGAGCAAAGCTTTGAACTAGGAATTATAATATATTAAAAACATGTATAAGTTTAATTAATAAATGCATATATACTTATTAAATACACACCATATGTAAATACATATAATTAAAAAAATATGTTTATAAATGTGATGCTTATATATTTATTTGTTTAAGTGGGTCGGATTGCCTCCAATTAAAATTCTATGCAAATAACATTAAGATGTATATTGAGAATATCTCGTATATATATATTGTTTCTGATACCATTCTATACATGTATATTAAATGCATGAAAAGGACACTTTCCATGTGCCCTCGAATTCCCATACTTGCATAGTATACGCAGAGTTTTTATTGGCGGGAAAATCCGTTGCCATTATTCATAGTAAGGCTTAAGAAGGGAAAATTCCGTAAAAACAAGGGAAAATTATGGAAACACACAATGCAGAATTCTGAATTCTAGCCCCCCCTACAATTAGCCCTCTCTCCCCTATAAATCGTGAATTTGGCATCAATATCAGGTACTTCTCTCTAAAAACAATGCATGCTAGAGGTAAGGGTGGGCATTGTTTGGTTAAAACTGAAATATTAAACAAAAATTTTAGTTTTGTTTTTTTTTTGGTTTTTGAGTAATTCGATTGGATTAGTTTGATTTTTAAGAGTTTTGGTTTTTGGTTTTGATTTTCAGAGTTAGAAATTCAGTTAATCAAAAAAACAGAATTAAATAAAATTCATTATATAATATATAATATGCTATATATTTATATATTAATATATTATAATGAAATTCATATTATATAATATATATTATAGGTTATAATATAAAATATTATATATAATAATTAAATTCGATTTTAAACCTAAAAAACTGAAAACCAAATCGAAAATTTTGGTTTTCTTGTAATTTGATTTCGGTTTAATTTTGATTTTTTTTATTTTGATTTTTAAAATTTTGATTTATTTGATTGAATTTTTAATCGAATAAATCGAATGTTAAACCCTAACCGGAGGCTGGAAAGGGAGCACGTTCACACCCTAGAGATAGAGGTCTTCTTTTCATATTTTAAAATTTTTTAGGGTAGATGACTGAAAAGGATATTTGACTGAAAAGAGAGAGAGGGGCGGGGGGGACGAGAGTGAGGAGATAAAGGAGAAAAAGAAAAATAATATATACAACACGCCAAAAAAAAAAAAAGGAAAAAAATGTATACGCAACAGGAGAGAGAAAGAGATGGAAATTGTAGCGCGGTTAAGTCCGATCCCGCGCAGGCCAGGGCGTCGTAAGAAGAGAGAGAATTACAGTTGTCCTTCGTAAGTCTCAATTCTCTCTCCCTTCCGTTGGAGTCTTTCGACTCTTTCCCGTCCAATTCCCTCCCAGGCCCCCCTACTTAATTGTGTTTCATTCTTCATTCCGCCACACGCTTCCTCGTTCGTCCTAGAAATCTTCGATTTTTTCTTGTCATTCAATGTTGTTGTCTGCTACTCCGATTCGAATGCCCTAGACGTTCAAAACTGTTTAGTGTGCTTCCATGGAGGAGGAGAATGTCGGTGGTGCGAACTCGGCGAGGGTTTCTTCGTCTTTCGCCCCAGAGACCGGAGGGGCTTCTTCGTCTACTTATGCATCCAAGAATGGGCGCTGGTTTACCGTTGAGCTTAGACCCGGCGAGACCACTATTGTGTCTTGGAAGAAGCTGATCAAGGAAGCTAACAAGGCGAGTCAATCTACTCCCGCTTCTGAGGCTCCCTCCGGTGCTCATCCAGCTCTTGAGTCTCGGCTTGCTCCGGTAAGGGTTTAATTTTGACAGATTTGATCGCTTTGGTTTATGAACACATTGGAAGCTAAGGGCAAGTTCGTTTTTTGAAGCTATGTGTTGGAATTATGGTCTCTTTGAACTGTGGCAGTAACTAGAACATGCGGACCTTGGTCCTCTATTGGGACAAATTTGATATTTTTTCTGTTGGCATTCTTAGCGGCTTATCAACTATGATTGCTACAGTCGTTGGTCTACAGATTTTGTCTCTGGCTTTGGTGTTTGGTGCCTATAAGTTTTATGTATTCGGATTTATGATAGATGTTGCTTTTCATAGGGTTTGTGCACGGGAAAATTATGAAGTTGACCTTTCGACCATGTTTTTGTAAATGTCAATGTGCAAGGATCAAAATATCGATCTGTATCCAAAGGGTCGGATGCACTGAAATACACAGGGTTTGGGGGCTTTGAACGTTTGGGATGATAGAAGGCATCCTTCTCAGCCTGTTTGAGAATCATCAGGCTGATAAAATACCTAATATCGTGAGTATTGATATTTTGATCATTGCCAATGTGCTGTTTTCTTGCCTTTGCTGGGCATGCTCGGTTATTGCTTTATAGGCATTTTTTCAGTGTGATAGGGGAACCTGCCAGTATAGTAGGACTGCAGGAGATTAATAAAGTTGATGTGAAAAGAGAAAGAAATTGAAATTCCATACTAGGATGACTTAATAAAGTTGATGTGAAAAGAGAAAGAAATTGAAATTCCATACTAGGATGACTTATGTACGATGCACGTCATGGTTTGTTGATGTCAGTGAAGAAACAACATGTTCAAAAAATGAGAAGCAGAAATAATGTTGAGATGGATGAGTGAAAATTAAAAAAGGATAGGAGCAAAAAATGAACACATTCATTGGAATTTAGAAATAGCCCGACAGATGATAAAATGATGGCAAATAGACTAGGATGGTTTGGTCACTTACAAAGGAAATCATCTACGCCATCAGCGAGAACAGTTTGCAAGTTGAAGGGCATAGAATGGGCTAGGGGAAGCTGGGTAGAACAAAATGGGACATGGGTTGGTGTAGATAAATGATTTGAGGGCCATGATTTAACAATGGATCTGAAACTAAACAGAGTGGAGTGGTGGATTGGTGGAACAGGATTCATGTTGCTGACCCCATATGGTTGGGACAAGATTTAGTTGAGTTAAGTTAAGTTGTATATCATGATTTGGTGACAAGTAATATGAAGAGAAACAGAATGTTTTATATGCATGGCACCTTTAATGTGGATGCTATTGAGGAGATTATTTGTATTGCTATAACTCCCCACTACAATAATTAAATCATGGTACAATGACTGCTTGTAGATAGAGCAGAAATAAAGGAAGTGGAGGTCCATAGGCTCCAGAAAGAGATACAAAAATAGAAGTAAATTTATGTCAGCGATTATGACAAATTGAAGATTCCATTTTGCAATTACAAGTAATTCATTTGTCCATTAAAATGGAGTCTTCCATTAGCAATAACAAAGGTGCAACAACACCATTTGCAATGCATAATTTTTTCAAAGCCATGTTTCTGACATCATTTTCTGGTCATTTGGTTAGACATGACATTTAAATGGTTAAATAGTTACAACTAATGAAATCATTTTTTTAGCAGACCAGCTGTTTTACCCCTTTGTTTGGACAGTTATTTGTTTGTTTTCATTTGAGTTGTCACAATGTGTTTCTGCATTTGCTACATAAAAAGCAACAAATTTGTGTTTGTGTAAGGCTAGTTGGGACTTAGACTTAAGTCCTTGAGTGTGTTTGTTACATGAGTATTCCATATAGGTTTTCACATACATATATTATGATTGTATGACATAACATGTCAACTTCAGTAATAATTTCATCAGTCCTTCAATAATAATAATATTTTTTTTTTTGAGAAAAAAGGTAATGTATTAAAAGAAGCAAAAAGATTTACAAAGCCCTGCTCAAAAAGAAATTGATGCAGGGGAAAGAAACTCACAAGCTGATTACATTTCTGATCTAGATACGAAAATATTTATAGGATAAAAAAAGAACTGGAAGGCATATCTTTTAGCTGTCTATGCATTGCAGTCCATGAATAGATTCTTCCCTATAATTTTTTTTAGGATTGTATCCTCTGTATTGAATTTGCTTTCAAAGATTCTCCTATTTCTTTCCAACCAAATAGACCAAATTACTGCTTCCAGGACCACTTCCCACAAAACTTTCCCTCTCTTGGACAGACCCTTAAGCTGCCAGCATCCCAATAGTGAGATCAGATATTTTGGGAAACAGAAGCTAACTTCAAACAGCCCAAAAGCTTTCCCCCATATCATACTAGCAAGTTTACGGTGAAAGAACAGATGCTCTGCGTTTTCTGAAACTGACCCACATAAACTGCATCTGCTTGGCTACACCACCAAACCCCTTTTGCCAAAGAGTCTGCTGTCAAGCACTTTCCAAGAGTGGCTGTCCATAACAGAAACACAACATTAGGTGGTGCAACTGACTTCCAAACTCTCTATTCAGGGAACTTCCCTACCTCCTCTCTGTTTAACTTTAACCTTTCATAGAATGAGTTAATAGAGAAAACTCCCGAGTGATCTCCCACTCAGAATTTTTATCTGACCTAGAGAAATCTGGTCTGAAAGAGCTAAGGGTTTGCATCAACTCCATCCAAAGAACTATTTCCCAATCATTCAGGTTTCTTCTGAAAATGGGACACCACAGTCTCCTGTAATTTTACCATGAGAGTAAACCTCAGCTACCAGACAGTCCTTATTTTGAGCTATTTTTTACAATGTTGGGAATCTTTCCTTCAGAGGGCACTCCCCACACAACCAGTCCTTCCAGAACAGCACCTTTGAGCTGTCACTAATTTCAAACTTGATTTCTTTTTTAAAAATTGAGGCTGATTTCTGAATGCCTTTCCAAACTGAGTACCCATAGGATATGCTGGATTCTCCTAGGTCCCAGTTTAAGTTAGTAGAGCTGTATTTAGCCAAAATCACTCTTCTCCAAAGACTGTTGGACTGCTCACTCTACCTTCAATACCATTTCCCCAAGCAAGCCAAATTGAATTTTCTTAATTTCCTCACCCCTAGGCCTCCAGCTTTCCTTGGCATACAAATCTTATTCCAATTGACTAGGTGAATTTTGAATTCCTCCTTCCACCCCTTCTAGAGAAAACCTCTCATCCTCTTCTCGATTGTCCTTGCTGCATCCTCAGGAATTGGGAAGAGTGAAAGTAAATAAGTTGGGTAAGGAGGAGAGCACACTTTTGATTAGAGTCAGCTTTCCTCCTTTTGATAAGTACTTAGTCTTTCACAGTGCCAACTTCCTGTCTACCATCTCCACCACCAGTGCCCAGATTTTCTTTGAGGTATATCTCTTTCCTAGTGGCATTCCTAGGTACTTTGTGGGCAATTTGCCGGTTTTGCACCCAACATTACTCGCCAAAATCTGAAGGTCTCTTCCTTTCTCCCACAACAAACATTTCACTTTTATAAATGTTAATTCTTAAACCTGAGACTGCTTCAAACCAGATTACATGTGAATAGTCTCTATTTGATCATGAGAAGCTTTCAAAAAGAAAAGTGTATTGTCTGCATATTGAAATAAAGGTATCCCCACTTCCTCCCCCACCTTAAATTCCTCTAAAAACCCTCCTCCATTTACTCTATTAACCATAACACTCAAAGCTTTGGTGATGCAGATGAAGAGTAAGGGGGATATCGGGTCTCCGACCTGAATTGAGCCCTCTAATGTTCCAGGAAATGGTTTTAAGATTGTCCATTTTCTTAGAGCAAAAAGAATTCCTTTTCTAACAAATTTAACTTTTTTTTTTTTTTTTTCTTTTTTAATTCTTTTTTCTTTTCTTCTCTCTTTTCTTTTTCTTTTTCTTTTTCTTTTTCTTTTTCTTTTTGTTTCTATTTTCTTTTTCTCTCTCTCTCTCTTTTTTTTTCTTTTCTTTGCTTTCATTTTCTTTCCCTTTTTTCCTTAAAAAATACCTCGGAAACTATTCTCATTGCCCTTTTCTTCCTTCTTTTCCTGAGGGTGCTGAGCTTCCCACCTTGTCGTTCAAGCCCCATGAGAGACTAAACAGCTCTCTGCTTGTTTTTCTTCCTTTTTTACCTTTCTCTTCTAGTGTCTGTCTTTCAATCTCAAAGAGCAAGAAAATTGTTTCTGCTTCCATGCCTTTAAAAGAGACCCCAAGAAATTCCCTAAAGGCCAAAAGCTTCGACAACACCCAAAGAGAAACTTCATCGTTCCGGTCCTGCTGAGCTTCCATGCCAAAACAACCAATTTGCCTTTGTTCCATTGGAGGCCAACTATCCATTGGGAGCAGAGCAATTGGGCTTAACTCTAAAGCATCATTGTTTCCTATTGCTACCTCTTGAGGGAATGCGCATGGGTTCAAACTTTCTCCTGGCTTCCCTTCTTGTGCAAAGGGACCATAACTCGACTCACCTTTTTTGATAGACGATTGACGGAAGTGATCTTCTTTGACTTCGGGTACTCTGGGTTTCCTTGGCTCTGATAAGTTGGTTCCAGTTTCTGTTAACACCGAAAAGGCCTTGCTAGCTACTGCTGAAACATTAGGAACACCCTGAAGTTCGGTTTGGGTCGGGTCAGAGAGGGGTTTTTCTGTTGGTTTGGCCCAAACCTGATCCGCTTCTTTTTGTCTAAGCCAGCTGCGAGAGTTTACATGTGTCCCTCTTCTACCGCCACTGCTTAGGTGCCTGGATTGATCCCTTGACCATGTGCCACTCTTATGATTCCTCATGGCAGAGCTACAAGACCTATAATAACGAGGTTTCCTCGTCCTGCTTCTGTCTTCCCTCCTTTTAAACCCTCTCATATTTTTTCGCTTTTTTTTTGATATCTTTTGAAGGGCTAGCCCATCCCCCCAACCCAGTTGCGGGTGGGATTCGATCCCAAGTCTCCGCTACAACCAGCAGGAGACCTTACAAACCAGCTGATTGGCACCTTGCTCTGTTCAAACACCTTTCCACTACAAAGTCGATCACCTTTTCATGCTCCAAGTTTGAAATTTGAATAAAGTTGCTTTTCTGACTGCCAGCGGATGTCAGAGCTATTCAGGGTTCTCTCAGAAGATCGATGGTCCTTAGCACAAACTTTTCTGCCCTGTTCTGCAACTTCTGCCCCCTCCTCTCTCCCAGGTGCCACGTAGCAACCTAATCTGTCCTGCGCCCCAACCAACCTTTTGTCTTCTCCAGAAACTGAAACTGGCGCTGGTGCTGGAGCTGCGTCTTCCTCAACTGAGGAGAGGTTTACCGTTATCACTTCTTTTCCTTTGATTCATCTCTTAACTTTGGCTGAAATGCTCTCCCCTGCGAAAAATTTATGAATCCAACATTCCTCCGCCTCTATCATTTCCCCATAATCTGAAGCCGGAGCCACTACCTCAGGAGGGATTTCAGGCCAAATTGTAACCACAAAAACCTTTTCCCCATCAACCACATTTTCTGCTGATGGTGGGAAGCCTTTCCAGGATGCTTTCACCCTAATCCATTCCACCTTTTCTCTCGCCTCTACTGTGTTGTCTAAATCCAAGTGGCCTCTGCATAATTTCCAATTTTCCTTACCAGCTCCTCATTCCACAGGTTGAGTGGAAGACCAAAGATTCTGAACCAGTACGAGTCAGGAAAGCCAGTCTTCCTCTTGCAGCACCTTCCGATTTCTCCCATGGATACAGGTGAAGTGAAGCTCCACTCTTCTGCCGTGCCTATCTTCCCTTTTTCCAGCCAAGCAATCGCCCTGAAACTCCCTCCCCCATCTACGAGCCTTTCCCTTCCCGGAGCTACCCACCTTTCTGATCTAACCCCTCTGAAAGTCATTGAAAGATTCCTCAGTGAAGAAACAGTCCGTTGGCGACGGTTAACAAAGCCGTTGGTCATCATCCGGAACAAATACCAGGTACCACCGGAGGCTAACAGTTACGGTCGTTGGTCATCACAGTGATTATGTATACTGCCACCAATATTCCTATTTATCTGTCCATGTAAGTCTGTGCTTGCAGTTGTTATCTATAACTGCCTTTACATTTTCATATTTATATCAAGATGTGTGATCCATTTGCACCACTTCTAGGAAATTGTTTTAAACCTACCTTTATTGAATGCCTAAGTTGTGTGTATATATCTGTGTTCTTAGGGTCAACCTGCAGAGGGTGAGTCGAAGGATGCACCTCCAGGAAATCGTTTTAGTGCTGTTATTGAGAAAATTGAACGTCTATACGTGGTACAGACGATACTTCTTTATCTATCTTATATTGAAGCTTCATTGGTTTAATTGTTCCAGATGTTGAAGGGACTATTCCCTTGCTGTTTGCTGAATTACTCTTCAGAATATAACAAACTTATTCTTTTCAGGGTAAGGAAAGTAGTGATGAGGAAGAACTTGATGGTGTTCCTGATGATGATCAATATGATACAGAAGATTCTTTTATAGATGATACTGAGCTGGTTGGTATCATGATTCTTGTTTTATTACTGTTTTTTTTTCTTTGTAGTTTACTTGTTATAACTAGATAGAAAAATTAACAGTCATAACTGCCAAGCATGTTGCCTTCTCCTTTTCCTTTTCATGTTAATTTCATCATGGTTATTGGTTAATTGAGTGCTGAAAATATTCATATTATTATTGTTACCAATCAAAAAGAAAAAAAACCCAGGCTGACAAGCATGAGAATGCATATTTGAGTCTGAAATCCGTCTCTTTGGGCCAAAATTTTCATTAGGTTAGGTCCATATCCACTTCAACCTTCCCAAAACCCTGTATGACTGGGATATTGGATAGTAGGTCCTTGCTGATGTCCCAGTACTGACTTGGTAATGAGATATATCTCTCCCAGTGGAGATGCAGATTCAAACTGATGCATTTGTTGCATGTCTATTTAGATCATCATGCAGCAGCTGTTGGCTGTTTATGTATCAAAACTTGTCATAGTTTCTACTGAAATAACCTTTTTTATACAGAAAACAATCCATTTAATTGCATTAGATGAACCTTTGTTATTAATAAATGATCATCAATGCCCTTTTGTCCCTTATGCAGGATGAGTATTTTCAAGTTGATAAGTCATCGACGAAGCACAATGGTTTCTTTGTTAATAGGGGGAAGTTGGAACGCATGTGAGTTTCTTTTATTATCTTCTTATTAACAATCTTTCTTTAATTAAAGTTTGTCATGTTCTAGATTGTATCTGCTCTTTTCTCCCAGCTTCATTTAAGGGAGGCTGGGGAGCACCGAAGATGTATTCTATTTTGTTGGTTCATTTCCCCCCAATATTTGATTTTTTTTTTTTTGAAAAGTCAAGTATATGTTAATTAAAACAAAAGAGCTGTACATGAGATGTTGTACCAGTATGTATCCTTAGGCCCTCCCAAAAAAATCCACCCTCAAAAAAGAAAAGGAGAAAGCATCATTTTTAAATACAGTATGAATGGATAACCAACTTCTAAGATCCTCTACTACCCTATTTATCACCCCTGATTCTGTTGATGCTTTCTGTTAAGAAAATCTCAGATTTCTTTTAGATCAAATGGCCAACATTAATTGCCATAGGAATTGCTCACCAACAAGCTTTCTCTTTTCTGGACCAGCCCAGAATGCCCCATTCTTGCAGCAGATCCTTAACTGAGACTACAGTGCACACACAGATGTCTGATAGTCTCTTTCTCTCTATTGCAAAGCATACAGAGCCTGTCTTGGACAGTGTATCCCTTTCTCATTAGCATTTCCTTGGTCAAACATTTCTTTAGGGCTACCACACAAGGTTCAAAATATCGGTACACCTTTTTTTTCAAATTTGGTTCAGAGGGGCCGGCTTAAGGTCCGTCCACCCCCTGGACCGGTCGAAACTCCGATACACCCTCTGTAGGGGCATATTGGAAAGCTCCCGATACGTGTCGATACTTTGAACCTTTCTACCATGGTACCACCCAAATGAAGAACTTAACTTTGGAAGGTGCAGCAGAACTCCAAATGATCTTATTAGGAAAAGGGTCCCTCGGAGCTCCTACCAGGCCCTTGTAAAAGGACTTGACTGAGAAGACCCCGGTAGGAGTCCACTTCCAACATCTAGAGTCTTGTATCTATCTGTAGGTCCAGATGTTTTGTTCTGAAGAAGAACCAGAAGATCAGTTACCTGATCAATCTCCTAAACGTTAAAACTTCTCGTGAAAGGACTCCAGCAGATCATGCTGCCATTCACCTCATAGGAATCTGCCACCCAAGCCAGTTTGTTTTCTGCCATATTAAACAAGGAAGGAAATCTGTCTTTTAGTGCCAAGTCACTACACCAAAATCCAGCCAAATTCTTACCTTCCTCTGATCTCCCACCTTGAAGATCCTTCACAGAAACTGCTGTAAACTTTTGAGATGCCCTTCCACAAACTACACCCATAGGATGAAAGGGGAGTTTCTGCTCCCGGCCATTGCTACAAGGACCTTACTTCTCAGCTATAACCTTCCTCCAAAGATTGTTTGGTTCTGTAGCAAATTTCTAAAACCATCTACCCAAAAGTGCCTTGTTAAGAAGTTTGACCCTCCTTAACCCAGACCTCCATGAGACACAGGTTTACAGACTTGATCCCAATTCACCAAATGATATTTGGAAGAGTCCTTCCAGCCATTCTAGAGGAAATCTCTCATTCTTTTTTCTATCTGTTCTGCCACCTCAGATGGAATTGGGAAGATAGACATGTAAAAAGATGGGAGGCTAGCTAACACACTTTTAGAGTTACTTTTCCACTCTTAGATACCGGCCTTTCCAAGAGGCTAACTTGGAATCCACCTTCTCTAAAACTGGAATCCAAGTCTCCAACTAGCTTTTGAGGTGCACTTGGTTCCTAGGGGCAAACCCAAGTGTTTAGAAGGGAAGTACCCAACTTTGCAACCCAGGAGATCAGCCAACTAAGCCACATTCTCTACCTCACCAACTGCCATTATCTCACTTTTGGCCAGATTTGCTTTTAAGCCTGACACGACCTCAAACCAAAACAATAGGTATTTTAAATTGGTCACCTGATCCGAAGAGGCATTGCAGAAAAACAGTGTGTCATCTGCAAACTGAAGAAGAGCAATTTCTATGCCATTGTTCCTAACTTTTAAGCCTTCAATACAATCTGCTTCAGCAGTCCGGGCTACCATTCTGCTCGATCTTTGACTTGTAGGGGTTGTTTGGTAATGGCTGAAGTGGCTGAACTGAATGGTTTGTTGCTTTGTCATTTATTGGATAAATAGACACAAAATAAACTATTTATTGATATAGTAGTCAACCTAATGTGCTATTTGGCCATTAAGGAGCTTACGACTACCTAACGGCTTATTCACTAAAAGACAGTGATAAGTCATCTGGTCCAGCCACTTAAACTGTTATCACGGGCAGCAAGCAATGGATTGAGCGCTAGCACTCAAGCCGTTGCGCGTTATACATGTTAATAAGCGTGATCAAATATATCTTTTTCGATGATCAACAGAAAAATAGGATTTTCAATGGCTTTCTATCAGGATTGTGGGGAAATTTTGAAAGATGAATTAATGGATGTATTTGTGGAGTTCTATCAAGAAGGGAAATTATCGCCTAGAGAAAATGCAACTTTTGTTGCTTTAGTGCCAAAAAAGGAGGCCAAAACCCCTAAGGATTACAGACCGATAAGTCTTGTGGGTAGCTTGTATAAAATTATTGCTAAAGTTCTGGCTGGTAGGTTGAAGAGTGTACTGCCCTATATTATCTCTCAGAACCAAGGAGCTTTTGTAGAGGGGAGACAAATTGTGGATCAAATTTTAGTGGCAAATGAGTGTGTGGCAGCTAAGAGAAAACAAGGTGACAAAGGCTTGATTTGTAAATTGGACCTTGAAAAAGCTTATGATATGGTGGATTGGTCCTTCCTGTTGAATTTAATGGAAAAGATGGGGCTAGGTTAAAGATGGAGGATGTGGATTAAAATGTATTAGCTCAGCACATTTTTCTATTCTGATGAATGGGGTAGCAAAGGWTTTCTTCCAGGCTAAAAGAGGACTAAGACAGGGTGACCCCTTATCTCCATTCTTATTCACCTTTGTGGCTGAGGTTTTGAGTAGACAAATCACCAAAGCTGATCAAGAAAATCAGTTTAAAGGTTGGAGAATGGGTAGATTAGAAGTGGTGGTGTCTCATTTGCAATTTGCTGATGACATAATTATTTTCTGTGAAAGCTGTGATGAAGCCAGTTTAAGGAATTTGAAAAGATTGGTAGATGAATTTCAGCAGGCCTCCAAATTGAAAGTCAATTGGGGAAAAAGCTGTGTAGCCGGAATCAACATTGAAGGGGGGGATATCCAAGCCATGGAAAATCTGCTAGGTTGTGAAGTGAAAAATTGGCCTCTGGAATACTTAGGAATGCCTTTGGGTGGGAATCCGAAAGCTGAAAGCTTCTGGAAACTGGTGGTAGAGAGAGGTTCATGAAGAAGTTGGCAATGTGGAAGAGAAATTATATTTCCTTGGGGGGAAGAATCACCTTGTTAAAATCAACCCTTGCAAACCTTCCCACTTACTTCCTTTCCACCTTTAAGATCCCGGTGAAAATAACTAGGAAATTGGAGAAGATTATGATGGACTTTTTGTGGGAGCCAGGTGAAGAAAAGAAAGATCATTTAGTGAAATGGAAGCAAGTTTGTTACCTTAAGGACAAGGGTGGATTAGGTATAGGGAACTAATAAAGAGAAACAAGGCCCTCCTAGGGAAATGGCTATGGAGATTCCCTTGTGAGGAAGAAAGGTTGTGGCACAGGGTCATTAAAAGCTTACATGGGGATGCAGATAACGACTGGAATGCAAAATTAGCTCCCAATGCAGCTCCATCCTCTCCTTGAAAGGCAATCTTTGAGGTATATCCAACTTTTCTTCAATTGATCAGGTTTGATGTTGGTTGTGGCAACAAAGTTTTTTTTCTGGGAAGACCTTTGGGTTGGGGATGTGCCTCTTATGTTCGATTTCCCAGACCTCTACTCTTTATCAAACTATAAAAACAAACCTGTTGCTAGGTTTGGTGTGCTTTCAGAATCAGGGATCTCTTGGGATTTTGGCTTTAGAAGAGGGTTGAGGGAAAATGAGTGTGAATCTCTAGTGCTGTTGATTTCAACACTTGAGAGGGTCTACTTGGACCAATCTATAGCTGATTGTAGAGTGTGGTCCCCAACTTCTGATGGTTTATTTTCCTGTGCATCTTTGTTTGGTTTGCTCACTCATATTAACCATATGGGGGTGAACTATAAGCTTTTTGTTGGGAAGTGTTCCTAGGGAAGGTAAACACCTGTGATGTGCTACAGAAAAGGAGGCCAAACAATTGCCTCTCTCCTCATGTGTGTGTCCTCTGTTTGGGATGTGGTGAAACTCTAACCCACTTGCTATTATCCTGCTCTTTTGCTTCTGGTATTTGGAATGTTGTTTGTTCTCTCTTTGGATGCAGATGGGCTCCCCCACAGGATGTGGTAAATCTATTCAGCCCCTCTTTCCTGTATCAAC